GTGAGCGGCCAGCAGCCACAGTGAGCGGCCGTCCAGAAGCCGGCGACTGATCTGCCTCGCCAGAGAAGAGCGCGATGATGGTGCCAACTTGGGCCAGTGAAGCGACGTCCTCCACAACTAGACTGAGGAACAAGACGACAGCAACTTGTCTGTTCCCCTTTCCCCAATTCCCCAGCACTGTTCCCATCCCCCCAATTCCCCAATAAAAATCTTTAAAAAAAAACAAACCAAAAAAAAAACACTATTGATACAACAATTTGGATGGACCTCAAGGGCAGTATGCTGAGTGAAAAAAAGCCAGTCTGAAAAGGTCACATTGCGTGATACTGTCTATGTAAATGACAAAATTATCAAGATGAACAAATTAGTAGTTGCCACAGGGTAGGAATGGTATTGGGGGCAGGGGGAGCAGAGAGTGACTATAAAGGGTTAGCCTGAAGGAGATCTTTGTGGTGATGGAATACTTCTGTATGTTGATTATGGTAGTGGTTACACAAGTCTATATGTGATAAAATGACAGAATTACACACAAACCAATATCCGTTTTCTGGGTTTTATATTGTACTATAGTTATGTAAGATGTAGTCATTGAGAGAAGGTGGGTGAAGAGTATATGGGACATCTCTGTATTTACAACTTCCTGTGACTCTATATTTCAAAATAATAGATTTTTTAAAAAATGTACAGACTTCTGCTTCCAGAAAGATGGAATAGATATATATTTCCCTATTCCTACTGCTAAGTACAACTAAAACCCTGGAAATTTTACACACACACACACACACACACACACACACACACACACACACACATACACTCAGAGGCATAAGACTGAAAGGTGGAGAGAAGAATGCAGAACTTGGGGTAGGGAACTTGGGAACCCAAGGAACAACATAATGAATCCTCTGGATTTTCTTTTTGCCTCATGTATCCCAGACTTGGAGTTGAACAAACTGGCAATGAAGAAACACTGCTATGCAAAGGACAAAATATACCCCAAGAAAAGTCTGCTCTCTGTAGCCAAAGGAGCAGAAAAGAGGCAGTTTAGCAAGACAGAAAACTTGTAGACAACAGCCACTCTACTGCCAAACACCACAGAAAAAAAGTCCTACCCCAACCCTTGCCACAAAGGCCAAGTGGGGAGTTTAGACTTCCACCCCTGTGAGACTGTAATGAAGTGCCCAAACCCCTGCCAGGGTAGTGTCAAAAAAGAACTGGGATTATCATCCCCATCTGGCAGTAACAAGGCACTGCTCCCCCTTGACTGAAGTAGTGTCAGAAGGGGCTTAGTCGGGACTTAAAGGACATTCACCACTGCCCAGTGGTTATGAGGCCACATATATCCCTATGTCATTGGAGGCCTTGGAAGCAGTAAGAAGGTACTCTGCCACTCCCAGCTCAGGAAGTATTCATTGAGGCCTACTGGAGAGCTGGAAATCCCACCTTAGCCCTTCCCTTGGGTGTCCAAGGAGGCTAACTGGGCAACTTGAACTTCTTTCTTTACCTGTCAGTACCAAGAAGACACCTCCCCCTTCTGCCAGACCATTGTGAGAAAAAGCCAGCAAAACAGAAGGTTTAAGTAAGATCCAGAGTCTCAGAACATAATATAAAAATGTCCAGTTTTCAATCTAAAATGACTTATTACCTCCCCCCAACCCCCCCAAAAAAGCCCCGAAAAAACAAACTCGCCATACCAAGAACCAGGAAGATCTCAAACAGCATTTAGGGCAACCAACAGATGTCAACAAGATTAAAGAGATGCTAGAATTATTTGACAAAAATTTTAGAGCTGCCATCATAAAAATGCTTCAACAAGCAAATATGAACATGCTCCAAATAAATGAAGAAATAGAACACATAGAAATGAACCAAATGGAAATTTTGGAATCCAAACATAAAATAAATTAAAAAATCAGTGGATGGGCTCAACAGCAAACAATTGGTAACAGGAAATAATCAGTGAACTTGAAGATAGAACAGTAAAAGTACCCAATCTGAACAACAGAGAGAAAACAGACAACAATGAACAGAGAGCTTCAGGGACCTGTGGGACTATAACAAAAGATCTAATATTCATGTTAGAGACGCATGATAGAAAAAAAAGGAAAGAGCAAAAAAAGGTACTAGAACAAATCATGGTTAAGAAGTTCTCAGAGACATAAACCTACATATGAAGTGGGACAATTAAGTTCACGAACTCATCCTAGAAAATGGGCTACATACCTCATTGCTGAATATCACTACGGTCCAAAGTACTTCCCTTGGGAAGCTATGCACCGATGCCAGTGCCTTGTCCGCCCTTCGAAGCAATTTTGAAACTTTTTCTGGAATGGCCATCAGCACTGTCATTGTATTACCCTTGATGTCCTGAATGTCATTAAAATGTCTTACTTTCAATATTTCCTTTATCTTCCGGTAACGAAAGAAGTCATTTGGGGCCAGACAAGGTGAGTAGGGAGGGTGTTCCAATACAGGTATTTGTTTACTGGCTAAAAACTCCCTCACAGACAGTGCCGTGTGAGCTGGTGCCTTGTTGTGATGCAAAAGCCATGAATTGTTGACGAAAAGTTCAGGTAGACTAACTTTTTTATGCAGCCTTTTCAGCACTTCCAAATAGTAAAGTTGGTTAACTGTTTGTCCAGTTGGTACAAATTCATAATGAATAATCCCTCTGAAAACAAAATAGTTAGCAACATCATTGCAACAAGTTTGCGAACTTAATTGTCAGACCTCATATTCAAGAAGTTGAGGAAACCTCAATCAGTATAACTCAAATCCACACCAAGACTTGTCATAGTCAAACTTCTGAAAACTAATGACAAAGAAAAAATTGAAAATAGCCAGAGAAAAATGACACCTTACTTTTGGGGGAAAATAATTTGAAGGACAGCAGACTTCTCATCAGAAACCATGGGCACCAGAAGAAAGTGGCAGAATGGTTTCAAGTGCTGAAATAAAACTATCAGCCCTGAATACTATATCCAGTGAAAATATGCTTCAGAAATGAATTGGAAATAAAGATGTTGTCCAATGAAGGAAAACTAGGAGAATTTGTTGCCAGCTGACCTGCCCTAAAAGAATGGCTAAAAAGTTCTCTAAACAGAAAGGAAACGAATGACTCTCAAAACATCAGGACGGAAGGAAGAATATGGTAATAAAAAATATGGGTAAGTACAATAGTTTTCATTTTTTCTGAGTTTTCTAAATTATGTTTGATGGTTGACACAAAAATCATAACTGATTGATGTAGCTCTAAATGTATGTAGAGGAAACATTTAAGACAATTATACTTACTGGAGGGAAAAGGGACATAAATGGAGGTAAAGTTTTATACTTCACTTGAACTAGTAAATGACAATACCAGTAGACTGTGATAAGATATGGATAAATAATGTAAAAACTAGAAAAATAGCTAAAAGCTATGAAAGCTATGTGCTCAAACACACTATAATTCCTTATTTCAAAACTTATTACAAAGCTACACTAATGAAGACACTGTTACTGATATGAAGATAGACATACAGGTAATGGAATAGACTTGAAAGTCTAGAAATAGATCCTTACTTTTATTGGTAATTGATTTTCACCAAGAAAATTCAGTGGGAAAAGAATATTCTTTTCAAAAAATGATTCTAAGACAATTAGATATCCACATGCAAAACAATTAAGTTGGTCCCCTTCATCACACCATATGCAAAAATTAACTAAAAATGATTAAAATTCCTAAATAAAAGCCCTAAAACTATACAACTTTTAGAAAAACACATAGATATAAATCTTCATGACCTTGGATTAGGCAACGATTTCTTAGATATGACACTAAAAGCACAGCAACAACAAAAATAAACTAGATATCATTAAAATTAAACATTTTTGTGCTTCAAAAGACACCATGAGGAAAATGAGAGAACTCACAGAATGGGAGAACTCACAGAAAGTTTTTGCAAATTATATCTGATAAGGACTTGTATTTAGAATATAAAAAGAATGATTACAACTCAATAATGAAAAGACAAATATCCAATTTAAAAAATGGATAAGGGATCTGAATAGACCTTTCTCCAAAGAAGATATACAAATGGCCCATCTTTGGATATTGAGCATCTATATTGAGCATCCACCAGATGTCCCTGGCATGTGGATTATACTTTTAAGTGTATGGATGAAAGAGAGTGAAAGTAGCACTGGTAGTAGTGAGTCAGAAGACTTGGGTTCTAGTCCTGAGTCTCACTAAGCAATTGTGACCTAGGGCAAGCTCTTTCAACCATTTTCCCGGGCTTCAGTTTCCTTATTTGCAAACGAAGAAGTTGATCTGTAATGTCCTTGGTAATTTTGACAATTACTGTCTCATTTTCTTCTGCTCCCTCCTCCCCCAACATTTGGAAGAGGTGCATCTCTGAAATATTGAGTAAACATCTGCCCATCGGTTAACCAGGTAAACGCTAAGAGGGGCACAAAGAAGATGAAGAGACGCCCCTTCTCAGTTCTTCAGCACAAAGCAGCAGGCCGCAGTGGTTCTATGGACCCGAGAGGTCCTTGAGACTACTTTTAACTCCCCGCCGATTCCTGGAGTAGCTAGTTGGTGCTCAACAAATGAGTGAATGTGTGAAGGAAATGAATGAGAAGTAGACCAGGCACTGCGCAATTATCTGGCTAATTCCTGCAAACAGTCACAAACACACCCATTCCCCCACGCTTCAAGGCGACTTCCGGAGTGTGAACCTCTGACAGTTCAGAGCGAAGCCTTTCGGACCTCCCTCGGCCGACAGCGGACCGCCGAGCTAAGGAGATGGCCCCGCGCTCGGCCATCCGTCGCCGCGCGCGCCCCGCCCCTCGCCGCGCGCGCCCCCGCCGCCGCGCGCCCCTCCCCTGACCACACGCGCCTCGGGCCGCAGCGAGTCTGGCGAGCGGTGCGCTGTCTCCGCGTCGCTCGGGGCTGGCGGCCGCGGTGCAGCGCGGGTGGGTGGGATCGCGGCGGAGCTCCCAGAGCCCGGGCAGGGGCGCGAGAGCGCCATGGCGTTGGCATCCGGCCCCCGCGTCGCGGCGAGGTGAGGGGCCGCCTCTTCACGGCTGAGGAGGCCACAGCTGCCCGCCTGCCTTCCACGCGGGCACGGCTCCGGCATGGCCGGAATCATTAAGAAGCAGATCCTGAAGCACCTGTCCCGGTGAGAGCACCAGCGCCGGCCCTCAGCGGCCCCCGGGTCCTTCCTAACGTCCTTCCTCCCTCCGGGACGCCGGGCTCCGGCCCGGCCCCTCTCTCTTCAGCCCGAGCCGGGACTCCGTGGCGGTCCCCGCCTTAACTCGAGCTGGACAGCCTCCTCTCCGCGCCGCTGGCCCCGACCGTTGTCACCACTCTGCTCTTCCCTCGCCCCGGGCCCCCGGGTACAGGGCGCTCCTGCCCTTGCGCTGGTGCCTCAGGCTCTCCCCTCTCCCACAGCACCCACCTCGCAGCCCTCCCAACCCTCAGGGATCTGCCGGCCGGCTGCCCCCTCCCTCAGCTGCCACACCACCGAGCAGGTCACCCCGATCTCCCTTGCATGTCCCCGGGGCCCTATGACGGTCCCTCCGAGGCCCCCCGGGTTGCACCCCTTTCCTGCCGGTCCCCCGCTGTTTTTCCTCTCCCCTTTGGACTCGCTGCCCCTCCCGCCGGGCCCTCTGCCCACCTCGTCACCCGCCCCACCAAGCCCTCCACTGCCTCCTCTCTTTCCTCGGACTGCTCCGGACTAGACCCTTATCCCCCGCCGGTTCTGAATAACCCTCGCACCCAATCGTTCCTAACCCATTTTCCACCCAGATTTCCAACTCCGACGCTGGTTTTCTCCTTCCCAGAAGCTCCCAGCTCCTCCTCTTCATCGTCTGGCTGACCCTGTTGCATCACCCTTGAAAAAGATACCATCCCTGCACCCAGGGCCGTTCCTTTGATCTCCCTTCTCCCTCCTGTGCTTCTCTTCTCATTACACAGACTAAATGGAGAAAGGTCATTGAGAGTTGGGCATAAAGTTTCAACAACCTTCCCTTTAAGATGTGGAGGTTTTTTTGACAGCCTGTGAAAAGAACAATGCCCACTTCTGCTTTGCAGCCATTTAAGCAGTGTTATGTCCCTCAGTAATTTGGGCAGAAAGGGGTGGCAGGCCACACAGTTTGCAGGTGTAGCTGGATGACTGCCAACCCCTGTGTTATGATCGCAGGTTATCAGAACTGGTGTCCACAAAAATTGTAAGCTAGGCTTTCACTTAGTTTTCATTCCTTATTCCTGGCGGGGGTTGGTGATGCCTTAATACCTTTCACCAGCTTTGTATCTCAAGTGGAGAGTGATTCAAGCCTTGGCTCCACAGTGGTCATTGGTTTTCAGGAGGTGGGAGTAGGGGGAGAAACCAGTCAACATGGGACGTGGGGGACGCTGGGGACTTGGGGCCTTTCACTGATGTATCTTTCCTGGTCTTCTCCTTTGTTGGTGAGTGGTATATGAGACACTGTTGCTGCCACTGCTTCCCTTTTACTGGTTGGCACTCTGACTTATTAACTGTTACTTTGATTTTAGGCTTTAATTAGTAATCGATTCAGATATATCTTTTGGGTAATCACCATGTTATAAAAGTAAAAGCAGATTGGCTGCTGGAGCTGGAAAATGCCTTTGGACCCTTTTACTAGAAGTAACTCCCTAATACGTGCTTTTTCAGGTAGCATTCCTCTGGGTGTTCCATGAGTTTGGTTGTTCTGTGTAAAGATTTAAATTACAGTAGGACTCATATTGTGAAATGGGACAGAAATTTTATAGGAAAACTGTTAATTTGAATGAACATAGAATCAGAGAATTTTAGGGTTTAGAGATGATCTCACTTAACATAGCATCATGTTTAAGAGCCCAGGCCTTTTGTGGTTTACTTTGTTCAACTGTAAAATGAGGATAATAATAGTCTCTAACTTAAAGGGTTATTGTGAAGGTTGCATGAGTTAATACATGTAAGGACTTAGCACAGTGACTTGCACATAGTAAGTGCACAATAAAACATGAGCTGTGATTGATTTTTGGGCCACAATTTGTGTGACAATTTGATATGAGCTGTAGACTTCTCCAGAAAAATCCACGTATCTGGACAGGTAATTTTTTAATATAAGTTCCAGGTGTGTGTGTGGGGTAATGAACCCCTAAAGCATGTGCCTGAATCCTGCGAGGCATCCTGGAACTAAGTCAATAACCCCTGACTAGTTTAACCCTTCATTTTATGGCTGTGGAAACGAAAGCCTAGAAAGGATTAATGACTTGCCCAAGTGGTAATGGAGTAGAACCCAGCTTCCTGATTGGTATACGCTCCCTTGTAGTACACACATATTCTGTGTACTTCATATATCTATGAAGACAGGATTTTTAAAGACAATTTTAACAGTATATGCTGTCACATTCAGTGAATCCTTAGTGAACAAAGTATCTCTTTTAGATGAAGTAGGAATAGGTATGACAGACATTGGGAGAAATTTCTGATTTCCTCAGCCTTGGATGGTTGACTGAGGAGGAGAAGGAGGAGGTTATTCAGGCTGCAATTTCAGGGCTCCAGGAAAAGGTGCTAGGACATGGTTCTGGTTGGGGGAAAGGTCAAATTCCTGGGGCCTTTGCTTTTGTTTAACTTGGAGAAACTGCCTAATCATGTGTGACATTTCTGCCTCTGTTTGATCTCTGCTTCACCTGCAGAGGCTGTTCTGCCTGGAGGGGAACTATAGCTTCTGTGGCTTGCCAAACCTGGTGGGGAAAGAGAAAGAAGAGAAGGTTTACTGAGTTACTTTGGTAAATAAATATTTGTAGGTGTTTAATAATGACTTGTTGCTGATGATGACAGTGCCGCTTGACCTGGAGGAGAGTGTCTTACAGCAGGAAAGATATCCCAGTGACTTGCATAGCATGTTTAATTTTAGTCATGAAGTTTCAGATATTATTAAGAGTGTATTATTGGAATGCATCTTCTTTATTAGTAGAGCATTTTGGTAAACAGGATTTGAGGGAGGTGGTATTCAAGATAATTTTGTTAAGCCCCTGCTCTGGATCAGGTACTGATCTGGGCACTGGGGATTCAGCAGGGAAGAAATGTAAAGGTCTTGTAAAGGCTTTAATCTCTGGTTTGGATGACTGGTGTGTAATACAGATAGCTTCAGTGCACAGTATTCGTTTTAATAGACCCACTTAGAAACAAAAGTTATCATTTAAAAAATATCCAAAATTGTTTTTTCACTAAATTAAATTATTCTTGTTTTAGATCACCTTAGCTAATGATCTTTGGTTATCCAAGTAAGAGGAAATATGATTGATTGTGAAGTAAGTCAGGGGACTATTGCTTATGGACCTCTGTCCATAACTCTGGAGCCAAACAAGCTAGCTTCACCTTCCAGCTCTGCCACTTCATGAACAGGGCAGCCTTTCTGAGCCTTAGTGTTATTATCTGTAAAAGACAATAATAAGGAAGGATACTACATACCTAGTAGATTTTTTTTTGAGGATTGGGGATAAAATGTTATAGTGCTGGCATGTAAGTAGGGTTTGATTAACAGCAGCTATTATAACGTAGCCAGAGAAGTTAGGGACACTACCATGGTACAGATGACTGCAGTCCACCCAACTGGCTGTTTTAGAACCTGATTAGAAGTCTTAATTATTTACTCTAAATGGCTGCAAGAAATGGGACCTTTAGTGACAGAGACATAGCTGATAGACATGATAGATATTTAAAAAAGTATAAGTATTAGGCGAAATTCAGAGGCACAGAAAATTTCAGAGTCCTTTTGGAGAATAAGAGAGCCTGACTGAGCTCATTCCTCTTGGTTTCTGATTGGTGCCTCCACTTGTTATTATTCGGTATTCTGAAGACATCACCTGGGCGGCCCCCAGTGGGCAGTGGGGACTCAGGCTCAGAGAGGCTGACTGCTTACCCAAGGTCTGTCTGTTCAGGTGAAGGTTTGTAGAACTAGTCTCAACTTCCAGGTCATGCCCCTTTATACTTGACCTTACTTATTGTCACCTTCATTTCCCAAATAATTATTTTGTGCATTTTCTAGTAATAGTCAAATCATATATGTCTTTGTTTCCCTTCCTCATCTTCTTGTATTGCTTCAGAATAAAGTGCTTTTATTTACTTAGCAGATATTTAATAATAATAGCCAACTGTGCGAATAAGCTCTTTGTAAGTCTTAGGATGACTTAATCATCAGCCTAACTCTATGAGGTATATATTAGTCCCATTTTACAGATGAAGAAATGAGGCACAAAGAGGCTAAATAACTTGCCCAAGATCATAACTAGTAAGTGATAGAACCGAGATTCGAATTCAGGCACTCTGATCCCAGAGCTGTGCTTTTTAACCACTCTGCTGCTATAATGGTTCTCATCTATTGAGTATTTCAAACTGAGTGTACCAGCACCCACATGAAGGAACACAATATTACCAGCACCCAGAAAGCTCCTTGCATCATTGTGTCTCCTTCCATCATTACCTCCACCAAAGAGTAACCACTGTCCTGATTTCTACCCGTATGTGTTAGTTTTGTCTGTTTTTATACTTTATATAACTGGAATCATATAGTATGCATACTTTTATGTCTGGCTTCTTTAGCCCAACATTATTTTTGTGAGATTAATCCCTATTATTGCATCAAGTTGTAGACCTCCATTTTCATTGCTGTATAGTATTGTATTTGTTTATACATTTTGCTGTTGCTGATGGACACTTGGATAGTTTTCTAGTTTAGGGCTATGATGATTAGTGCTGCTGGGAACATTCTGATGCTTTGGTGACCAAGTGTACACATATCTGTTGGGGATATAATAAGAGTGGAATTTCTGGGCTGTAGAATATGCATAATACGTTTTAATAGATATTACCAGTTTTCCAAATGGCTGTACCAGTTTACACTTCCACCAGAAATGTGTGGGAGTTCTGGTGGTTCTACATCCTTGTCAACGCTTGGTGTTTTTCCTTTATCGTTATAGCCATTCTGGTGGGTGTGTTTTGAAATTTTTTTTATACTTTGTGGTAAACCAGATGGCCACTTTATTTTTACCTCTGTTTAATTTTTAAATTTTGACCTATTTGTAAATTTTATTCACAAGAAAATGTCAGAACCTTGAAAACAAAAGGTATTTTTCGGAGAAATGTTCAAATTAGGAAGGTTCAGTGAAAATAATTAGGGTAATTTATAATCATTAGCCCATAAAATTTCTTATTTGAATAGATGTGATGCTTAGCTCCCTGTCAAAATAACAATCATGTACATTAAGAGAAAGGGGGCCTGTTCTTCAGGCATTTGGATTTTTGTTAAATATTTGGTCTTTAGATAACCTTAGATATTAAATAGTTTCATTCTGTTCTGTAAACTTACACCCCATTTTTACTAAAGAAACTAAAATTTGAATTTCATAGCTTTTGTATTCCAATCTTTACACTTTTCTAAGGGTAAAATGGTTGTCTTGTGTCTTAAAAGTAGCATTTAAAAGCAATAAAAATTTCAAAGCAGTACTCATATATGTGGCCATAAGCTACTGACTGGCATGCAGTGTAGTTCACAAATAATGAACTCGCCTGCTTTGAAAAACTGGCTAAGAGGCACGTCAGTGTAGGAAAAAGAACTGGGACTTTGGATTCCAAAAGGTGGCTGTGCATTTTGATTCTGCCACTTGTAAGCTCTGTGTTCAGCAAGTCTTGTAGCTTCTTAAAGCTTCCTCATCTGTAAAGTGGGGGATAATAACATCCAGTGTTGTTTTGAGGATTAGAAGTAATGTATAAAAGTGCCTGGTCCTGAAAAAGTATATATATATATATATATATATATATATATATATATTATATATATATATATATCCTCCCTTTCTCAAAAGTAGCTTTATTAGACCAAGTGTGATGCAAAGATGGTTTTGCACATTTTCAAATTCTGACTTTATAGATCAGGCTGAAAGTATTAAGCTTGATTCTCCCGGGACCAGCCTACTTCTGAGAGTTAGGTATTTTTGAAAGTATGTGAACTCTTTTTAATTCTAGAACTCAATGCAGTGCAGAAGGTCCCCATTCCTTCTTGGGGGTACAGGGGCTGAAAAAGTATTTAATAAACACTATAAAAGTAATATAAAGTAATAAAATTACTACTTTTTTTTACTTATTAAAATTACTCAGGGGCCGGCCGAGTGGCGCGTTGGTTAGGAGTTGGCTTGGGACACCAGCTCTGAGCAGCAGGGCCCCGGTTTGGATCCCACATGAGGACCAGTGACGCTGCGCCCTCTA